TCTGTGATAAGGTCCAGACACGACAGGGAAAGAGCAGCATTTGCTGGATGAACTCATCTGATCAGGTCGGTTTTGGTAAATGCTCCTGTATGCATACATGTAATTGATTTTATGAACTCTGAATACTTGTAATTTGTTGTCCAATAAATCTTTTGAACTAAGGTGGCCCGTATCAGCTGTTTTGAACACCATTAGTGGCCTCTAGCCACATCAAATGGTGACCCCGAACTGGCGGACAGAACAAATTGGATCGAGTTGGTGCGATACATCCACAGAGAGAACTTTGGGCTCACCATTTAACAGGTAAGCGGATTTTTACCTAAGTTGGCCGCAAGGCTCAAAAAATTTCCGCCATTCGGCCGTAAACCAAATTATATTTTCATTTGTGGGTGTTCGTACCATCTCCTGAATAAAGATGGTTGGTAAGCTAATTTAAAGTGATTAGTGGAACTTCTGATGTACAGATTACTTGTATTCAGACTTGGGGGGGGGGGTGCACAACGTGTGCGTGCTTGGCCGCGTGCGTGTGTCCTGTGCACGGCTTTTTTTTTTGTTGATAGAACACGATTTAGAATCGTGGCGGAGGAAGACCGTGGAGTCTGCCGTTAAAAAATAATAATAAATAAACGTTCCCTTTGTTTTCAGCGGGTTTGGCTAACCAGAAGGTTTATCTGACGAGGTAAACTTACCGAGTCAGGGACTCGGGAGTTGTGGGGCGCGTTTTCCACCGCGATTGTAGACTGGTCGCTAAAATAAACGCAATTGTTAATTTATTCAAAGGGAACGTTAAAGTCTGGGACTTAGTACCAAATTTCCGGCGATCGGACTGACTGGAGCATCCATATCCTGACCGAAAGGGGGCGCTGTTGGATAAGGCAATTACAAGTCTCTACTGACTGCAGTTTAAGGCTTGTGTTGTGTTTTTCAACAGTTGCCACGAGTGATTGAGAATAAAGACAATTGAATGACAGTTTGTGTGAATTGTGTCAGCAGATATGGAGCTCATAAATAAAAAATCTGTAAATCCTGTGGAAACTCTACAGGAACAATCAAAAAGGGTTACAGCTGTAATTAAGGTTATACACGCAGCAAATACAGGTAAATGTAAGTCATTAGAGAGCCTTTTGCTTCAGCTGGTCCAGGCTGATGATGGGACATCATACACTCTCACACAAATTGCTTGGGACAAGGTTAAAGATCAGAATAAACAAATTCAGGAGCTTAACGAAGATTTACTGACCTGCAAGTCATTTGTTAGACCTCAGAGGCTTCAGAAGAAATTAGAAAATCGCGGCAATATCCAAGAGATGTATAAACAGTTAGCTTTATTGTGTCAAAGTGTACAAAACTTGGGTCAAACAGACACGGGTGGACCACCACCTTATATGACAGACATGACTTTACCAACAGCGCCACCTGCTGGCAATTATCCGGTGTTGCAGGTTCATAAAGCAGACTGTCATTTGAGGAGACTGATTCAGAGGAAGGTGGCAATCTGGAGAATGACTTAGGGGGATTTAGTAGTAGAATGACTGCACAAAGACGACAGCGGTTTCTTAATGACTTATCTGTACGTGATGAGGAGGAATGTAGGAAGGCTCCCTGGAAGAGTGGTTCACGTGATAGTGACAGAGGAGGCATTTTAACAGGGGGTCCAGGTCCTAGTGGAACACAAAGCTATAAGACTCCACGGCGGATGGAGAGCACGCGAGCAAGCAGCCCGGGCGATAAACACACCACTGTGTTTATTGAGGGTACTTTGACAGGACTAGTAGAGGACGATGAGGGGGTGCGGACACGGGGGACAACATCAGGTAGAGTGAGGAGGCAGCCAGACAGATGGGCTTATGATGGCCCAGGTCAGCCAGTTCTCACGTCTGCTCAGGTTCATGAGGGGGAGGACGCAGTATCAGATATGGAAAGAGGTTTCACTGTTATTAGTCAACTTCCGTTACTGAGTGCTCAGGGACCGACTGGTGATGTGTCATGCTATAAGCCATTTCATATACGTGATTTGGAGGCGATAACAGAAAAATTGCCACCGCTGGTTCAGGGTGGAGGCCGCTGGTTGGAGAAATTTAATGCCCTTACTTTAGGTGTGACCCTGGCAGTGGGGGATCTGAACGCCAATTTTGCTCGCTGTGCTAATCACGCCACCGTCCAGACATACCTGAACTCTCCTATAGCGACTTCACGGGGCCATTATAGGATCTTAGAACTACCAGATGAGACTCCGTTGTGCGACGTGTTTGTTCATATTGCGCCTATCATAAGATCACTATACCCATTACCAGCTGGTGTAGCGGTACCCGAATTCAAGTGGGATAAGACTATAGACCCGTGGGAGTTTATGGAACAGTGTAAAGACACTTGGGAGAGGGTGACAGGTGTACATGCGCAAGCCATCCAACAACGCCCAAATTTTAGAAAAGCCGTTCTGGACTCTCTGCCGAAAGAAGTAGTAGATGAGTTAGAGAAGAATGTTGATTTGCTCACAGCATCTCCTGACCGTTGGGAGAAACACGTAATACATCATTTAAAGTATGAGAAAAAACAGGGAGATAAAGAAGCAGCTGAATTAGAAACTATGCGGACACAGCTCCTTAAACTTCAGTTGACAGATGCCAGACATAAACAGGCCGAGGATAAAAAGAACAAAGATAAAAAACAAATGTCTGTACAGTCATTTACAAAGGGAAATGAGGAGGCAGTTTCCTCTGGAACAGTCGCTCTGCAACAGTGGTCGGAAACTACAGGCCGGAGGGCCAGAGGGGGACATCCGGCGAGGTTAGTCGGACGGGGAAGAGGGGGCGCGAGGCCGAGGCCGGTGTCTTGGGGTTGGGGTTCTTCACAATGGGGACAGCGGGGGGATGCCTGTTTCATCTGTGGCCAGCAGGGACATTGGGAGAGAGATTGTTACTACCTGGCCGCACCAACCCACATGTCACGAGGGGGGCAGCAGAGGCCATTCCAACAACACATGGGCCCACCACAACCCTTCGTACACCTGATGCCAGGTCCACCACAAATCCAGCATCAGCAACAACCACGTGCCGGACAACTTCCTCTCGGGACAGAGGGAATGGGGTTCCAGCAACAATGACACACCCCACAGAAAATGCTAAGTGTTGGAGGAGGGACAGACCCAACACTCGAGGTGACAATTAGAACGGAAAGGTTGCCGTTTCTAGTTGATACAGGAGCAACATTTTCAACAATTACTCACATCCCACAAGACTGTGAACTGTTGGCTAGGTCGGTGGAGGTGGTTGAATTTTCTGGAGCTAAGCAAAGACTGCCGGTGACGTGTCCACTTCTCACAAAAGTGGGCACACAAACTCTGTTACATCCCTTTGTGATAGCTGAAAATGCACCAGCTAACCTTTTAGGGAGAGATTTTCTCATCAGATTGGGAGCTTGAATTTTGTGTTCTTCCGATGGACTTGTGGTGAGGCTACCAGATGGCACCTCGCTGGAGTGTGGACTGGTCACCACTACTCACTCACAGTGTGTGATCCAACCCGTCCATGATGAATATGTTGACATCTACTGGGGACTGCTTGAACCTGAGGTCATGGGTGGAGGGGGTGTCTTTTCTGCTTTCCTGGCGTGGAAGCCTTGGCTCCTGACTTTGCATCCGTACTCAGCTCCTCCTGATCCCCCACATGTCACTCTCTTTTATGACCGAAGAAGAGATGAAGTGTTTCAAGACCACTTTGCAGAACAACTGGCAGGGAAAATCTGGCCTATTGAGAGTGGGAATATTATTGTTGGCAAGGAGGGAGTAGCAGTGATTGTTAACTTAACTCAAGAACAGGAGGGGTGGTACATGATGGGTACTGAAGCGGCACCTCATATTTCACTAGCGTTAAATCCAAAATTTCAGGCTAAAGACTTAGGGCCTATGGTAAAGAGAGCCTCAGAGGCCTCAGATTGGGTACAAACATCTTTAACATCCGTCTGGTATTCCCTCAGCTGTGAGTGTTATTCAATCGACTCTAGGGCACATGATGTAGCTTTGATGCAACATGATGTGATCCCCAGAGAGCACGGTCGTGAACTAACGGACCACCCGCATGCAGGTCCTTTAATTGATAGTATGTCTGGGTCATTATGGTCAGAGGGGCCCACGGATGTGGGACTGATACACTGCCCTCCCATAATGTTCCAGGTGCATCACACATACCCAATTTGGATCACATAGTATCTGCACAAACCAGCTGCAGAGGCAGGTATCGCTGAAACAATCCAGGGTTTAAAAGAAAGCGGCGTCCTTGAACCCTCCTACGCAGAGTGGAACACACCTATTCTACCTGTACAAAAACCAGGTACAGACAAATACTGTATGGCACACGATCTGAGGGCCATCAATAAATTATTGATCACTCAGACCGTGCTGGTTCCAAACCCATACGTGGCGTTGAATAATCTGACACCAAAACATGAATGGTTTAGCTGCCTAGACCTTGCAAACGCATTTTTCTGTCTTCCTTTGGCTGAAGACTGCAGGGACATTTTTTCATTCACCTTTCGTGGTGAACAGTTACGATACACAAGACTACCTCAAGGGTTTGCGCTGTCGCTAGGCATCTTCAATCAAGTGTTAAAACAAGTTTTGCGCGAGGTAATGCGCCCAGAAGAAATAGTACTTGTTCAATATGTAGACGATCTGCTCATAGCTAGTCCCACTGTACAAGATTCATTAGAAGCTACTAAAAAGGTTTTAGAACACCTACATGCAGCAGGTTTTAAGGTCAGTAAAAACAAACTACAGGTGACTAGGCGTCAAGTGTCTTTTTTGGGGAGAATGATCTCGCAGAAAGGGGCGGGACTCTCATCTTCACACATAACACAATTTTACATCATCCAAAACCGCAGACAGTTAAAGAAATGCTCTCATTCCTAGGACTGACGGGGTACAGCAGAAATTACATTCAAAATTATGCAGGCCAAACCCAGATGTTACGCGCTTTAGTTAAAGAACAGGGCATGAGATGCCCCACTGCCAGACTGGTTTGGAATGAGGATGCTGAGAGGGTTTTCATTGAAGTGAAACAACAGATGAGTAGGGCTACAGAGTTAGCTCTGCCAGACTATGGTCGACCCTTCCATCTGGATGTTTCTGAAACAGAAGGGGTGATTAACGGTGTTCTGTTTCAGAAACATGAGGGAGAAAGGAAAGTTTTGATGTATGTCAGCTGTTTATTGGACAACACAGAAAGGAGACATCCCCCGTGCACGCAACACGCAGCAGGAGTGGCTAAGCTAGTTCAAAAGACAGCTCACTTGGTGATGGGACACACACTGCATGTTTTGACATCTCGTAGTGTGGTTGCCTTTGTAAATTCACATAACTTCACCATGTCACCATTAAGACAACATAGAATAAACAAGGTCCTGGAAGCACCTAACTTGTTATTCACACATGAGGGAATTAACATGGCAGACAGGATAGGAGGAGGTGAACCACACATCATTGAGAGAAGAGTGGAAGTTGATGACAGAGTCAGGCCAGACTTAAAAGCTACACCTCTTGGAGAGGGACAGGTGATGTTTTGTGATGGAAGCTGTTTCAGGGCACAGGATAGACAGCTCAGTGCAGGCTTTGCGGTTGTGCTTGAGACAGACCAGGGTTATCACACTGTAGTGAGCGAGAGATTACAGGGTTCTCAGTCGGCGCAGAGAGCAGAAGTGAGAGCCTTAATTTCAGCACTAAAGTGGGCGGAAAGCAAGAAAGTGACTATCTTCACAGACTCAGTGTATGCTTTTGGTGCAGCGCATGTTGAACTGGTGCAGTGGAGGAGAGGAGGTTTTCGTACAGCTAACGGTAAACCTATTAAACATGAGGCAGACATGAGAGAATTAGAAACAGCCCTGATGTTACCAGCAAAAGTTGCCATTGTGAAATGTCGAGGTCATGATTCAGATTCATCAAACATAGCAAAAGGAAACTGTCAAGCTGATTTAGAGGCAAAAAAGGCCTCAGGATTTATCAACTGGAGTCAGATGGTGATGACAGCACCAGAAGAAGAGGAGGTGATCAGATGGGATGAGGAATCCATCGCCTGTTGCCAACAAGGTGCAGCTCCAGAAGAAAAGGCGGTGGGGAGTGAAAGAGGAGCTGAAAATAGACCAGATGGATTGTGGATAAACCCTGAAGATGGAAGATGGGTACTTCCTCTGAGTCTGAAGAGGAGAATTTTCGAGGAGGCACACGGACTGGCTCATGTAGGGGTACACCAGATGAAAAGGAATGTCCTCAACTGGTGGCACCCGTATATGAACTCTTTGATCAGAGCATTTGTGAAAGAATGCATGTTATGCAATTTGTATAACTCCAAGCCAACCTTTAAACCATGGGAACAAGGGAAGTTTCCTACGGAAAAGACACCGGGTCATGAGGTAATAATTGATTACACTGATATGATTCAACCAGTACGAGGTTTCAGATACCTATTGGTTTGCGTCGACGCATTCACCGGATGGCCAGAAGCCTGGCCCGCTAAAAAGGAGGATAGTCAAACTGTAATCAAGTGTTTAATAAATCATTACATCCCCATACATGGGTTCCCTACTGTAATTAGGTCCGATAATGGAACTCATTTCAAAAATGCAGATCTACAGAAGGTTGAAAAGGCCTTGGGTTTGAAGCATGCTTTTGGTACAGTTTACCACCCCCAATCGCAAGGGAAGGTGGAACGATTGAATGGAAACCTGAAACAAAAATTATCAAAAATCTGTGCACAGACAAATTCCAATTGGCTGGACGCGTTACCTATCGCCCTTATGGTGGTAAGAGCTTCTGTTAACAGGGGTACAGGTTTCACCCCTTATGGACTGACCACAGGAAGGTCGTTCCCAGGGCCCCAGCAAAATATTGAGTGGCCCTCAGAACAGATATCTAAAATGACACACAAAATGTACTTTGATACACTAAAAGGTATGTTGTCCAGTTTTCATCTACAGATTCCTGAACCCAGTACTCCGGACGGAGTAAGCCCCACGTGCCCACTCTCAGATTGGGTACTGCTGAGAGTCACTAAACGAAAGTGGGCGGAGCCAAGGTGGACGGGCCCATATGAAGTGATGGAACGCACAGCATACGCAGTACGTTTGAGAGGTAAAGGATCCACTTGGTTTCATGTCAGCCAGTGTGCACCTGCGGGCGAACCACAACGATCGCTGTAGCAGGTCCGGTCAGATCTGTAACATCAGTAGAGGCGGGGTCGAACACCTGACGTCTGGAGTGAGTTTCCTGCATGAGGGGGAAGTTGAGCTGGGAAATCATCTCTTGTCAAGAGGTGTGGAGAGCAGGTGTGTAAAGAGTGGAAGACGCATCGTTTTAAACCCATTGGGGTTTTGTGAAATAAAAGGCATCAGAAACGTTGGGAATGAAGTCCCCCTGTTTTGCCTGATAAGCAGCAAGTTTTCTTAATCCATTAATGTTCTTGTGAAATAAAAGGCAGCAGAAACGTTAGGAATGAAGTCCCCCTGTTATGCCGATTAAGCAGCAAGAGGAGTTAAGCAGCTGTGTTCTTGGAGGCCTCAGGAGCAGTGGCCTGAGTTAAGGAGGGAGTTACCACGGACGAGGAGATCTACTGTGGTTTCCACCTGAGGAGCTGCATCGAGCCATCCATCTAAATTCTGTGAAAAAAAAACCTGTGATTTTCAAGGTGTACGTGTTTATTTTCCACAGGTTGATTATAACTGTCAATACATCCACTTACAATTTTCAAGTATTTTATGACCTTAAGATAGAGTTACTTTTTTAGGGTCAGAATTTTAACTTTTTACTGTGCATGCATGTTAGATTATTTTTGCTTCACATGTTTACAGTGATTGATTCCTGGGCCCAGTTGAACTAAAAA